GAAGAGAAGAGAAGAGAAAAGAAAGAAAAGAAAAGAAAAGAAAAGAAAAGAAAAGAAAAGAAAAGAAAAGAAAAGAAAAGAAAAGAAAAGAAAAGCTGACCAGATCCTCTCACTCCTGGCCACTCAGCTGGGATCCTGCATGCTCATCACAGAAGGACAGCTAGAGCCTGCTTCTGTGCTTTCTCTAGCACTCCCCAGACAACTCCAGTATGAACCACAGGCTGAAGCCTACTTTTCAACTGAACAGAACAAATACATGATGCAAAGGACGAGGTTCATAGTGCCGAATTGCAAGTGCCAAGCAAAACACCAAAGCTCCCAGCAAGCTTCCCCAAGAGAAGGAGAGACACTTTCACCACTGACCAGTTACCCCAAGCACATGGCTTGGCTCATCAAGCCAGATCGCCCAGACCCACAGTGCACCTCACGAGCAGAAGTCAAGAGCGCTCTTGTATGACACAAGGGGCACACATGGATAATTGGCTCAGCCCACATCTGCAAGTGGAGTGGGTCCAGTGAAGGCCACAGGAGAGTCTCACAAGCAGCACATCACTTGTTTCCCAGGAAACACTGCATATCTTGGTCCTCCCTATGCTCTGTGCTGGACCTACTGTGCCCCTGGGGGTCTATTCTCTACCCAGCCAGTCTCCCTTCTTTCAGTCAGTCCCCTCTACACAGCACAAGAGTATTTTAAGACCTCATCTGATCACGTCACCCTCCATTAATACCCTCTGTGCTTATCCCTTAGCATTCCAGAGAAGCATTTCCCCTGGGACACACTGCAGTTCTTCAGAATCTGGCCCTATCTACCCCTTCATGTCTTACCGAAACTTTCCCCTTCATCTCCCCTTGCAACCACACTGGTCCCATTAAGCTGGGTCTCCCCATGTTTTGCTCCCACTATCATAAAGTCCTATCACTCAAACATCATGTTACTGTCAGGTCAAGGCTTAGGCAAACATGCACTTTGCTGCTGTCTGCTCTCAGTTCAGAGCCAGGCTCCTTACCTCTGATCCCACAATATGTTGCATTTAAGTTCAGTCAGGAGCTTGTACATTGCTCTTTATTTACAGGTTGTGGACCAGCCTCTTCGCTAGACAGTGAGCCCAACAGCGTCTACTTATATTCTTAGCATTGTCTCTCCTAATAAACCAGCACACGCTAGATGCACATAAAAGCTTATGAAAAAGTTGAATGACTGCAATGGGACAAATCATGTTTAAGAACTTGGTATAAATGCAGTCTTTTGGAAAAGAGGAAGAAGGGATACAAAAGGCAGAAGACCTGGTGCCTGCCCTGGGATGCCAAGAGAACATAAACCCGTGGAGTATGTGGTAGACGGTGTGACCTGCACGTCACCTTCACCCACCCAAGGCCTACTCTCTGATATATCAGTTACTCACTCTAGAGACACTGACAACATGCAACACTGTTAAAATAGAAGATCTCTTTCATGATTTGATTATAAGAATAAAACACAGAAAACGCTTAGAATGATGCCTGACATTTATTACATATTATGTATCTGTTTGTTAGGTAAATATATAAATAAATAACAAACTCTGTTTTGATCAAAAACACAAAAATAAGCATTTTCAAGGTGTATATCCTGAAACAGCTGGAGGAACCCATGTATGAAGCAGGAGAGATTTGAGCTGTTTGGGCTCCCCAACTCCAATTAAAAGAAAGAAAAAGTTCTAGAGACGAGACTAAAAAGTGAATCCATAGTTAACAAAAGGAAGTATCTTTCTTCAGAAAGGCTGCCATCTCTAAAATACCATGGGAAAGCAATCATTTTGACCTTCTCCCCAAAATGAAACACCTGCTCTGTAGGGCAGACACAGATGGGCTCAGTCAGGATTACTCCAGGCCTGCTACAGTAGCGGCTGGGAGATCGAAAACTACATGCCCCAGAATTCCTTGCAGCTAGCACATCAGCAAATGGCCTCGCACACACTGTGATTTTGAAGGTGGAAGAACATAATGTTCTGAAAAAATAGTGGCTGAGGCGCTCTGGCTGCTCTGCAGCAGGCATGCTGGAGACCCTACGGTCCAAAAGACTCTGGACACTCACTTTTTGTTGCTTCTACAGACCTTTAGTTATCCCTGCAATAATTTTGTTTCTTTTTAAATTGACCGGAGTGAATTCGATTGTCTGCAATGAATCACTGATTAACACACTGTAGAAAAATGTTTCTTCTCGCTAGAATCTAGCCCCAGCTTCATAATGGAAACAATGCAAACATAATTCACGTTTAAGTACCTTATTCTGAAGTAAGTCTACTAAGTAAAAGAAAATGAAATGGAAGAAAACAGCTGTGTCATTTCCAGTGAGCATTCAAAACCTGGATGAAGAAGGCAGTATTTACATGGTACACATTCACAAATGCACTTATGTACGGAAAATGTGACAGGAGATCACCTTTGTTGCTTACCAGTCTATACTTTTCATTATCTTTTTCCCTCCTATGGAGAAAATTAGGAGAGAGGAAAATATATTTACTGTTTTCTTTATCCTCATATCCAACATATGGCAAAAAAAAAAAAAAACCAAGAGAAGCACTACACATTTTTGTGTATCTACTCCCTAAATGGCATTGCCTATTACTTACCTTGAGACCATATCTAATTCCTTTTTTTTTTTTTTAGTTTATTTTTTTTATTTTTCAACAAATAAT